AATAAAATAAAATTTAAAGAAAAAAACCGATTAAATGATAATTTCTTTATTTTTTCGACTAAAATTCGTTTTTTCTTTATATTAAATCATTGTCTAATGATTGAAAATCAAATGGCTTCAATAGAAGAAAATAAACATTGAAAATATGTTATAGATTTAATATTAAAATTGAAATCCTATTAAAATGTTAAATTTTATTTTATTATTTATGTAATAAGTTTTCATTAAATCATTTGAAAGATTTATTTATTGTCAAAACAAATATTCATATGAAATTTTCTTCAATTCAATTCAAAGAAAAGAAATGAATTAGTTAGTTCATTCGAAGTTCAAGATTATATTTTCAAGATTCTGTACCCAATCAAATCGATAACCAATTGCATCATATATTAATTTTTTATGCTCTATGAAATTCGACGATTGACTTTTTTCTTTCAATAATTTTAATCCATTTGAAAATTCAATAGAATTTGTGGCTATCTCACATAAGTTATGTTTTACTAAGCTATCTTCATAGATTTGATGAGTCACTTGCATGACAGGCAAGCCTATCAATGCAAATTGTGGTGCCATACTCGTTTGATGATAAAGAATACCATCAGCAAGCAGTTGTGCTTCATCACTTGTCAATGAAGACAACATCACTTGACTCGAACGATTATTTATTAACCATTGTTGAAGTAAGAGACCATCTCGGTTTTCTAATTTTGCAGCTGGATGTTGATGGACAAGAAAAAGAATATCTTTACAGAATTGATTGTCAATAGATGATGAGAGAAACGAAAGAAATATAGGAAAAGCTTGTTCATAATAAACTTGATTATTTCCACCAAAATAAATAAATAAATATTTAATATTATTCCAGCCATATTTTTTTCGCAATAGATTCCGTTCAATTTGACGTCGTTGATGTAATTCTTCGGCTATCTCTATCGGATAATAACCTATACCTCGAATATTTTTATTTTTGAGATTAATCTGAACATTTGGTAAAGAAAATATCTTCGATTCTCTTTCGACTAAATTTTTATTTGCAAATAAAATATTTCGAGATGATTTTATCATCTCACCAGATCTGATTGAATAGCCACCGGGTACATATTGTTCTGGATTATCATAGTAACACCAGAACCGACTATTGCACGACATTAGATCAAGTTTATCAAAAGCTGCGTGCAGTTTTATATTAAATTCATTTGCAATGTCAACAATAATTTGTTTCGCCTCACGAATAAAACAATTCTTAATTATTTCTAAGGCTAAACTTTGTTCTTGTTCATTCGTAAGTCCACCTAACTTGAAATGAAATAGAGTCACTTCATCTGATAATGATAAATCTTTAAATTTCGCTCGAACTGATTCACTTGCATAGATATCAACGCGTAATTTACCATTAGCGACCAGATGTTGGGTAAACTCTATAAAATGTGCTGCTGGTCCATTGTCACAAACAATAAAACACACGAGAGGTAAATGATCACGCATTTGTAAAATAAAACACTAGTTATGCGTCGGTACTGGTTCAGAAATAGATGTTTCGATTCTCAATATATCAGACAAGTATATATTGTACGTTTCTAACCAAGGCGTTTTATTGGAAAACTCCTTCATTCAAATACCACACATTTACGTCACAGATAATGACGCATGGCAGTTACTTGTTTGTTGATCATCATTCGAGGAAGAGAGAGGGAAAATAACATAGGTAAACAAGTATTCACCTACTCGTTATATGGAGGTAGCAAAAAGAAACAGATTTCATGGGAATAACGATTTGTTTACCTGAGAAAAATAATACACATACAAGCGCATGGCTTCAAAAAATGAAGGCCTCCGCTTTATTTTATTTTCCAAGTACGTAGAAACGAAGGATGTCATAGAATAACGAAACTGTGTGATTTAGTAAGTAGGTGTCATCAATAGATCGACATGAAAAAATAAGAACACATAAAATGTGCACCTTTACGTATAAAAAATAACAAACTCATAGCCAATAGCAAACAAACAGAATATGAGAACACCATTAATTGTCTATCCTATAGAACGAAGAAAGTATACAAGAACATTTTAAATGCATCAGAAGTATTCAAGAAAAGGAAAAAAAGTGAAAACTCGTGATGCAATTAATTAAGCTGTAAACTAAAGTCGAATAGTAACTAAAGTTGAATTTATGTACATGCATCTCCGTAAAAGGAAGACAATATAATATCGAACGTATTTGCAAATTACTCATTTGCTTATAGATATTTTGGCAAACAACTACTCAGTACGATTACTGATCTTAACAGTTGAATCATTGAATATGAACTTTTCTGCGAGCTGGAAGAGTAAAACTGAAAATAATAGTAACCCTAGTCAAACATCTTTTGGGATGCGCATGACATACTTGATGATCTTGAGCAAGAAAGTCATGCGCTATGGACACATCTTGAGTTCAAGTCTTGTCAAGCGCTTGAAAACAAAAGTTCGACTAGGGAACCATAAAGATATCTACGTCAATTTCCTACTAAGAATCATTTCATGAGATTCCAGTGAATTTAAAGTGTATAACATGATAAAAGTCTCTTAAAAAACATCAATTACAGCACTTCGGTTTTGATTAATGAAAAAAAAATCAGATTGTTCCATCGTAACTGAAAGAAGTATAAAAAAGACATGAATGAATTTGTAAGAATGTCATAACCATTATTATGTCGTAATTTCATTTTATTTTATTGTGGAAAAAATTGACATCTCGTTTTTCGTACAATCATAAAATAAACGATATTGAACTATATAGTTTATTTATAATCAAAGATAATGCGATGAAGATTCGTTGGCCAATCAGGAGTGTATCCAATAGCATTATAAATAAATTTTTTGTGTTGCTGAATTTTATCCGATGACGGACTATTATCTTTCATATTCTGTAAAGCAACAGCTAATTCATTTGAATTTGTAGCCGTATAACACAAATTGAATTTAACTAAAACATCATGGTATACTTCATGCCCAACTTGCACTGTTGGTAATCCGATAAGAGAAAATTGTGGCGCCATACTTGTTTGATAATACAGAGCAGCATCAGCAACTATTAGTGCTTGATCACTTGTTTTTAATGTTGATATAATTGCTTGAATATCATTTTGTTGCACTAGCCATTCTTGCAATAAAACACCATCTCGATTCTGTTTTTTTGCAGCAGGATGTTGATGAAGTAGAAAAACGATATCTTTTACGATGTTCTTATCTATCTGAGAAAGACTTGACAGAAAAGCAGGAAATGCTTGATCAAAATAAGCATCATTATTTCCACCAAAATATACAAATAGATGTTTTACATTTGTCCATCCATTCTCTGCTCGTAAAGAATCGCTTTCAACGTATCGTTTTTCTATTAGTTTTTCAACTTCTTCAATTGGATAATAACCAATACCTTCAGTTGTCTTGTCTTTTAAATCAATATGCTTTTCAGGCAACGAATATATTATCGAAGGTATTTTGGCTAAATTTTTATTTGCAAATAGAATATATTGTGATGCTGTAATTGTTTCTTCTGCTTTGAGTGAATAACCACCGGGTACATACGGCTCTGGATTGTCATAGTAACACCAGAAACGAACCTTATCAGTGTTGAGATTGTTCTTCGATGAAATAGTTTGGAGTAGTGCATCAAATTTATTGCCAATATCAACAATGATAGTACGCGCACCTTCTTTCAAACAACTATCAATCAATTCTCTAGCTACTTGTTCTTGTTGTTCACGCTTGGACTCATCGATTGTAAATGAACGAAGTTGAAGACCAGTGGGCAAATTTGAATCTTTTAGTTTATTCAGAGCCGGTCCAGTTGCATGTATAGTGATTTGTACTTGATTTTGATTGAACATATTGGTAGCAAATGCTGCGAAATGAGCTGCTGGTCCACCATCGCATACAATAAAGCAGACGAGTGGTGCTGATGTAGTATTGTTATTCATTGTTGAAATAATCGTCAAGTACGAAAAAACTGGCAAGATTAAATAGTTATGAAAGAAAATGTTGTGTACTTAGTCTACTAGAGATTTGTTATCTTTTTAACGATCACATTATCTGCATACAGAAAAAGAAAACTTTGATATCCTATACTTTAATATAGTAGTCCCTATTTGCTTTCGAAGATTCTTATACATTTGCTATCTTTATATATCAAGGTGCACAAAATAATGGTTTTCTTTTAAAATATATTCTACAATAAGATCGACAATCAAGAAAAGGAAATAAATCAAATAGAAAATGCTGACATTTATGAGTGTTTAATATTCACGGAAAAAGTTTTAATAAAATCTTTGTCTATTTGGAGTACTATTCATTGATTGAAAGTGATTCTGAATGAAGTAAAGTAGTAATTATATAAGACATCGAAATTAATCAAGCTTCGGCATACCACCCATCCACTGCACCACATTAGGCTCGAACAAGGGTTACATGAATTTCGGCCCGGTCCGAAAGTCCGAAAGGAAATTCGGCCCGGCCAGAAAATTCTCCGGACTTTCGGACCAATTTTATACAAATTCATTAAACTCGGAGAAAAAACGAATTTTTTTGAAAATT